CCTGCTGAAATCACGCTGATTGATATCTCACCAGAGATATAAGCTCTTATCTTTATTAATATTGTTTTACCAACAAAAAAAATACCACTAACACCATCTAGGAATACTTCTTCTGCACTGTCCAAGTGTAATTGCAGACACAAACGACTGACATAGTTAAAATGTAAATAGCAATAGTTTCCATATATTGTTCTGAGCAGGTTTTGTTTGGATTGAACCTGTTTTGATCAAATTTTTGATCAATGTTGTTTGGATCGAAGTAACTATTTTTGTGTGACTTTAATTTTGATGATGGGATTTTAATTTCCTGTGAGATTTCTGTGAGATTTCACTGGTTTTTGTAATAAACCAAAAGACTATTTTCTTTTATACAATCACATTGTTAATACCTATCACCTGAAACACTGATTTGTTCATTTAAATAAAAATATAATGTAACTTAGTAATCAAACTCTCCAAGTGCTGAGGCACAGAACCTCAAGCCTACTCAAACTAGTGTCCAGCCAGACTGAGCCTGCCCATGCATTTAAACACTAGAGATTCAAACAAGGAAACAGCCACAGTGCTCACACAAACTTCCTCACCTCAAGGCTTCTATAGCCTTATCAGCACCTTTCAACATCCCAAGACTATTCCATGTTTTAGTGTTTAATATGTTAAACAGTTCAGTAATGTGTTTCCAAGTGGGCAGAATGAGAGGAGGAAGGTTTGGACTGTGAAGCTGATCTCTTCTGTAAGGTGTTGGATGAGAGATTATTAATGAAAATAACTTGTAATGCAGCTTTTTTTCTTTCTGTTTTCATGTCTTGTAAGCTCAAGAATAGCTCATAACAAGTAGAAGTGAAATGTGTAACAAAATTAAACAAACCAAACAAGAGATGGAAGCTGGACTGCCTTGGAAATCGTGCCAGCCTCAGGCTGGTGGAGATCTGGAGTGGCTGCAGAGACACCAGTGGAGTTGTGATGGCTGCAGATTCGGATCCAGGCTATTTTTTTTTTCCTCTCTGTGTGTTAGGAAGGGTTCAGTTCACTTGTATCAACCGGTTAATGTTTTACCCAAAGAGGGTACCTTTAATCCTTAGAACAGTTCTCTTATTAAGATACCAAGGTAATTGCACACCTGAATTGAGACACTTAGTCATGATCACAAGAACACATGAGGTGTCAGCAGAAGTTTCAGATAGTTCTGCTACTTTCTATGGGAATTCAAGGCTAACCTTGGGCATCAATAACCCGAGCTTGATTAATGTTCTCATGGCACACACTTACACTCTTCTTCCCACTGGTCGAAGTTCTGCTGTGGAAAGCAATAAACCATAGGCACTAGCTGGAAAAGGGGGAAGCACTGAGGCAACGACTGTATGGCAGGTGAGGAAAGTAAAGCTACAAGCCCAAAGGCACTACTAGATGCTTCCGAAGGGACAGTTCCCAGGAGAAGATCCTCAGGCACTTAACCAGGCAACATTTGTGCCAGAAGGTAACCATATACATCCTGTCAACAGAAATTATGTCCAACTCAGCAACTCCTGCATGTAGCCCTACTTTATCTTTATCCTGACCTCATCATGCCAGGCATGAACGTCTAATTTAATTATTGCACCCTGTATAGATAAGAATTGTTTTCCCTGTTTTTGTAAAGAAGATAACATCAAAAGTGCCACTTGGCAGGGCTCACTGGTAAGTTCACTTTGTTGCCACATGGAAAATTAAAGAGTAGGGCATCAATAAAAACAAATCCTTTTCAGTCAGCAAATAACTGGGTCTCCCTATCAGGACAAGCAGCCCAGGAGAGCAGCAAGGAAGGAAGTGTGGTTGTGACCCACCTTCTTACACTAATTGGCAGATGGGCTTTCTTAAAGTCAGCTGGAGAGATGGAAGATGTAGGTGTACTTGTGGGCTCTTCTCCAACCCCTTCAGGACAGTCTACTCAGTACTTCCTACCTGTTTGGGTAGTAATGAAACAGATCTTTCCAAGAGGCAGTTCTGCGCACTGCAGAAGTGTATGTGACACACCAAAATGGACCACTCGCCATCTTGTCTCAAGTTAATGATACCTGAAAATAATCTTTATTCTTCCTCAAAGCCAAAGTAGTATAAATCAATTTTCTGTTTATAGGAGTATTCATTTCCTAGAACAGAGATATATTTCTATTCCTGACAGAACCTATACAATACATTCAGTAATATTCAGGGACGTAAATGTGATAATATCCTCCTATAGAAATTAAATTTACTTGCTCTTCCTCAAGGCAAATGAACAACAGCCAGAACGAAGGGAGGGGGAGTGGGGGGGATGGGGAGTGTGGAGGTGGAGGGGTGTGGGTGTGATTTATTCCTTCCCATTGGCAGCTCTTCACTTCCTTAACTCTTCAAATCTAATACTCTCTGGCCTCTCTGAAGACTTGAGAAGCTGATCTGCTGTGCTGCAATGCCCTTTGGAATCACAGGATGTCCTCAAACTGTCATGCTGCAGCTGTAATCTGCATTAGGGTACAAATCAGGACCACCCAGAAGTCAGTGGCAGCACCATACCTCTCCTTCTTGTCTGCATACCCAGCTCTCCAGTGAAACTGGAACTGATTTTTTTGGTGTTTGGAACACCAAAGTTCAGATATAGAAAAGTTCTCTTAATAGAAGCATTTGGTCAAGGAGAAATATGCAGCTGGATTCAGGGTGAACTATAATTAATTATGCTGAACAAGAAA